GAAGCAAAAATCAAGCAATGTAAAAACACACTGAAATTATATGGCAATTGTTTTTTCTCCCAGATTGCTATTCTAGTACTTTAAATATATTATTACTTTTACAATTTCAGTTTCAATTTTTAAAACTTCCTTCAATATACTGCATGGGACTTAGGGACAAATTGCATGCTATATTCATGCTATTTAAAAAAAAGAAGATCCACAAAATGGGGAAAGATTGGAATCTTCACCTATATGTGGGGTAACAGTGAAACCCGACCTACCTGAATAGTAGAAAAAAATAGTAGCTCACAGAGAGCAAAAAGAGTTATTTACTTTCCCATATATGTTCTAATCTTAAATAGAGCTGCTGTATCTTTCAATTTAAAAACAAAAACAAAAACAAAATCAGTGTCCATGGACTTTGGATACTTCTTAGGTTTTCTCTAATTTTCTATATATTTATATATGTGTGTATGTGTATGTGTATATATATTTGCTTGAATATTTAAGCCATCTATAGGAACCCACCTTTTTAGTAGGCCTAGGGCTATAATGAAGATAATCTTCTCAGGGATACCATCCTTAAAGCAGCTACTCCTAATTGCCACCTTTGAATCCTTTCTTGTGAAGAAAACTGTATTAAAATATTTGTTGAACAAAAACAGCCCCTTTTAACTTGACACTGACTAGTTTTTCCTTTGCCATTGATTTTGCTGCCTGCCTCACTGTCTCACACAGGAATCCAGATTAAAGTACCCATGACAAATGGCTGTCTAGCCTCTCCTTGAACTCATCTACTAGAGAGCCTACCACCTCACTGATAATTGGATCTAATGTCAATTGCTGTTAAAAAATGGTTTCCTAACATTCATTTGGAATCTGTCTGGTTGGCTTAGAATGAGCCATAATGTGATTTGCTTGTTATATGGTTTAGTGTGGTGTGTGAATTGAGTTATTATGGTGCAGTCAACAAAGTCTGGTTAAAAGCATGGCTTGGTATGGTGCATTCCATTCCAGTCAGTGATTATGTTACTTTTGAGCTTTTATTGTGGTCTTTATGTTGTGGGATGAAGGACAGGTAGTCCTTGACTTACAATCATTTGTTTAGTGACTTACAATCATTTGTTACAGAAGTTATAACAACGTGATTTAGGATTATTTTTCACACAATGCCTGTTTGCAGCATCCCCAAGGTCACATGATCAAAATTCGGATGCTTGGCAACTGGCATGAATTTATGACAGTTGCAGTCTCCTAGGATTGTGTGATCACCTTTTGCAACTTTCTTTCCTTTTTTTGTATAACATTTTTTATTTTTTGTTACAAATTTTAAAACCTCTTTACAAACAAAGTGTTGACCGGGTCCCCTCCCCCCCTTTTTACATTATCTCTTATACATAATTAATTTTAAGTAACATTATCAGTTCTAATTTCAGCCCCACATTTTCTTTCCAAATTTCCATCTTAAATTTAAATTTTTCTTAACAGATAAACAAAATCATTTTTTGCCCTTTCATAAAAAAGTATACCAACTTTATCATTTCATTTTCCATTTCTAGTTTCTATATGCAGCATATATCATCAAATTCCATTGTAATATAACAAGAATTTTACTTGATTGGTTATCCACACTTAACAATATTATCTTAACAACTATGGCAAACTATGGCAATATTATCTTAACAACTATGGCAAAAAAAAGTAAATGGGGCAAAACTCGCTTAACTATTGCTTACCAACAGAAATTTTGGGCTCAGTCGTAAGATGAGAACTACATGTGGTCTTGTTGAGATTGCTCTTTAGGAAATTTCATTCTCCTTTTCAAAACATTTATGTGACTCCGCAATTCACAACTCAATAGAGTTTCTAGTCTGTGGTTCATGTGCTGTTGAGATATTTACTCTTTCCTTTGGTTATTATTCCTTTAAAATGTGAAAATGTGTTTCTTTAAAGATTTTTCCCCTTTCCCTTTTTATTTTCCCCCCTCTAAACAAATGTTTAAATATTTCCTTCTGGACTGTGTGTGACTGAATTTTGGCTACCACACTGAGAAAATTATTCAGTGACTCATTTATCTATTGTTTTCAGCTGATACCACCTCCGCCTATTCAACCAGATTGTTTTTGTTACTGTCTTTGCATTTTTCCACATCTCAGCATTTTTCCAAAACGTTGGTTATTATGATAAGCCCATTAACAGCCTTGCTACACATCTTCTTTTAGCCAAGAGGCCTTAAATGGCCAAATCTAAGGTTAATTATGATAATTCCAGGTTTTTGATTCACCTTTTTGAAAGGGGCATGTAAAGCTTGCTAGAGACTCACATTGGTATGCAAAGTAAGAAATGCAATGTTATTCCTTGGCTTTTTTAATCTCCCCTGTCCTTTATCAAATTTTATGTATTGAGAATGATGGGCTGGAGATTCATTCAGAAAACTCCCTGCATTTATACAATATGGCAAAGTAAATTCTATTAACACAGCAGCAGTCTTTTGATCATACTGGAGAAGAAAACAACATTTCTATGTTCTTCAGTAAACAAATGCCAAATGCTTATACTAATTAATAGCAATTATACTGATTGGATGGATTTCAAAATCAAATGCGATAGTGTGCTGAAAACATTTTCTTTGTTTCTAGGAGGCAAATAAATAACCAGAAAAGATGTAACTGCCCAAAGTCAGATAAGGACTGTGTGTTTTTTTTAAAACAACAACAACAACAAAAACCTGTTCTTTGGCCATGAGGAAGAATGGTTGCTTTCTGATTCTGAATAAAGAATGTTATTAGGAGGCTGGCAACGCAATCTTGTCTCCCATAACAAAGGACTGTGACCCAGAAACTGTCCAAGCTCCAGTACCTTGCTGGTGGCATCCGGAGGACAGAACGGCAGACAAGGAGACATTTATATCTTTATCTCTCTTTCTTTTCCAAACATTTCTCTTCCAAAGAATAGTGAGGAAAATTATATTGTAGGTTTTGCTTTCCAACGTTAGAAGCCCTTTCTGGCACTTTAGTGAGAATCTGAAGGATCCTGTATTTGCCTAATCACAGTCTCTGGCTATAAGACTATAGAATGATAAGTACTATTTCTTATAATTACAACAGGTGTGTACAAAACATTTCAAAGGGGCAAGAGCAGTTTTGAGTTCAAAAAGTGTGGCTCCAACCTCATAAATAAATTAGGAGGCTTTTCTAACTACTGTATTTTGGAAATGTTTTGAGCTTGAGCATCTTTGTAAATTTGGCTGTTTACATAATCTGCTTGTGTCATTTGAAAGCTTCATCAAAGAAGCATGTTTATTTCTAAATCAGTCTTCCATAAATAAGCTGTTGACAGTTAGTAAAACCCAGTTGCACTGTTCAGTTAAGAAGAGGTTTTAAGAATCTGGTAAAATTAAAATGGTTAGCGAAAAGAAGTACAATCATAGAATCAGATCATTTGAATAATTCATGATTGACCCAAAGGTGCATTTTTCTCAAGAGGCAAATCTTGCCTCTTGAAAAAAGCATTTTTGGGACAACCATGACCTGGATGACTGAGAATCTCCATAGACAAATTCATGATTGATTTAAATGAAAAGAGTCCTGAAGTACCACTGGAGGAGGACAAGGAATGAAACCAACTGGGTACAAGTGAGATTCTTTATTGGGGCTTATCTTGTGGTTAAAAGAGTAGAAACAAGCTTCCTCCTCTGCTCTTATATCTTTGAAGGACTAGCAGCCCTGTTTGGAGAAATCCAGTGTCTTGTTGTTATAGGGAGATCCTCCAGTACAGCTGTGAGGACTATTCTAGGTATCAATCAGATAAAGCTATTCTGAGTTGGACTTCGGTTGGGCAAATACAATGGAGATGGCATAGACACAATGTTGCTCAGTTATCTGGAAAGAGGTTGGACCTAAGGAAGTTGACAGGGTCCTTGGTGCTGTGAGTTCTGTTACATGTTCTCAGGATCCATCCCCCCCCCAGCTGATAAAGACTTCTTGGAAGGAGACATGGGGTGGGTCTAAGTAGTGACTAAGACCTTCCTATAGGATGGGTGGTTCTACATGCCTTGCAATTGTCCATCCTTGGATCCAGCAGCATTTGGACAGTCTGCAATCTTTTGTCCAGACTGCAAGCTTCCTTTTTTGGTGTTGGTAAGGCGAGAAAACTAGCCCTAAGTGACTTTAATGTGGGATATCTCAAGACATCGTTCTCCTGCCATTTAACATTTGCATTAAACTACACTTCCTCTACTAATGATAGGTTGGAACTCTGATCACATCAGAGAATAATGTTAAAATGGAATTGGGCAAATATTGTCAAAATATTCATGAACTGAAATAGGACATAGCAACAGGTCAGCCATTGGGGACTGGCTGGAATAGGACATGGTAACAAGATCAGCCAATGAACAAGCATAGCAACAAAGTTAGCCAATGAGGGCTGTTTAGAAACAGAAAGTATTTGCTGGAGACAGCTAGGCGCCTTGGCGTGGTTTAGTCCAACTGTTCTGTACTAAAGCTACAAGTCTGTGCTGAGAACTAAACTAGTCTGGTCTGCTCTCTGAATTCTGAATTGTTCTTTGCTGTTCTCTCCTTTGACTATTTTTGCCTGTAACTCTGTGCCTTGTTGGAAGAACCACTCTTGGTATTGTATATATTACTTCATGTGTTATTATGTACCTATATAAAGAGAGGTTAATGAATCCTGCTGAATCAGTTACCTGTGTGTGCTTTCTGGATTTGATTTCTGCAACAAACTCTGACAAACATCTCCTTTTTCTCACATAAAGTAGATATCTGTTCTGTTCATCTACACTGAATATCTAAATAATCCAGTACTTCATAGTTCAAAATATGGGGTTCAAAAGTGTCTGAAGGTTAAAGAAAGCAATATGAAGTATTAAAAATGTAATAGTTAAAATCTCCAGAGTCTTTCTTGCATTCATTTTAAAAGGGTTTGTTCTAACGTTGAGCAGATTTATGAGCAGGCCATTAATTCTTTTTCTTGATTTATTCCCTCTTGTTCTATAGGCTGTTCAGTATTAAATCAGGACTAAGACAGAAGCATTTAAATCAGTATCCAGAATCATAGTATTCAGGTAAGACATTCACTATATACGCTGTGCATGGGGTTGTGAATGGGTAGCAATAAAATCATACTAAATGCCAAAAAGATGTAGTAGCTGTTTGTCTCAAAACAATCATTATCATGATCCTGTTGATAACTTGGGAAGGGGGATTCTGCAATTTGAAAGGTTCTCCTGGAGAACCTGGACTTGTACGCCTTCCTGGTTCACCAGGTGGTGCCCATGTCCAGAGGACTCACAATATATTAGCAACAGTAATTCATCCTTTCGTTACCACGTGGTTCAACTATTACATAATGGCCACTATGTGAGATCCTCTGAAAATAAGGAACTATATTATAAAATATAAATATTATATTCTGCAAAGTTTTTAAAATGGTGCAGTTTTGAGACTGATTTTGAATGATGTTATGAGTTTATATGATGACCACAATCCTACCTAAGTTTGCTACTTATACCTTGATTACCTGAAATTGAAAAGGAGAAGGAAGAGGACCTCATGCTATTTAATAGGCAATTCTGAATGGCCAGATATATGTCTGCTTTTAAACCTAAGCTTCATATTATTAGGGGATGACAGGGGCAGGGATGGGTATTAGAATTCAACTGAGTTATATTCTGAAGCTTATCATTAAATTAATTTCCTGACCCTTGCTGTAGTGAATCATGCTATTTCCAGAATCATTTTAATGCGCCCACCCTTCTAATGAGCTAGCTCTTTTGTTTACCTATGCTGGATCATGGAGCAGCAATAGCTACTGAAGGAGGAAACATGGTTGAAATACTGCATTTTCCATCTATTTCACTGTTGCTCAATTTGATTTCCTAAGTTGTTTCTTTGTGTATGTATCAAGGGGGGAAAAAATCATACATACTTACATATTCACCCAGCCATGTATAGTTGTCACTTTAATAGAAGTAAAATTATGGTGGAAAATTGAAAAAAGTGGAAAAAAAAGGAAAAAGATAATAATCCAAAAATTATCTCACAAGGATAGAAAAAAGGAAACAAATCTAATTTTAGTTTACACTACCATTTACTAATCCTTTCTATACTTTTGTGCACATGCAAACCATCCTTGTTTATCCATATTCCGCTTCTTACATTCTCTTTTATTCTTTATATTTCTCACCTTTCTCATTTTAAATAATTTGTCAATTCAGCCTAGCTATAATCCTCTTAACTTCTTGAACCATTTATTCTCTAGCTCTATATTTGGTAAATGATTTGAGTTTCATTAATCCTCTCTGTATGATTAATTACCTCCAGTTTTTCCCCCAGTATTTACTCACTTTTATATGCAATCTGCATTCATTCAGCATGTATTCGTTCTTGACTCTCTATTTTATCATATCCTTCTGAACCCCATCCCCATTTTATTTGACTTTTATATTTCTTTTATACTTTTATATTTCTCCTCACATAACCAATTCTCCTTTCTATATAATATATAGAGAGAACAGAGGTGGGTTGCCAATTATTTTACTACCAGTTTGGGCGCGTGCATGATGCTTTTGCGCACGCACAGAAGCAGGTGGGTGGGTGGAGCCTCTTGCCGCTGCTACTACTGGCAGCAACCCACCTCTGATAGAGATAGAGAAATATGCTGCAATATCTAGTCAATTTTAATTCATCTTTTTTGTGGTGATACCAACCAATAATCAGGCTCTTTTGAAAGCACCCACACCAAACATTTCTGCCAAAAAACCCTGCAAGTTTTGATAGATGGCTTACTAGTCTAGCTATCTTCCAAAATTTCCTCTCCCAGCCCACATTTAGAAGAGAGATTCATGGAAGGTTTTCTGCTTATTTTTGTAATTTTAGAAACAGAAAGGAAACAAAGTTGAGACAATGCACCAATCCCTGTCCTTAGCATGCCCAGTAAATAAATAAATCAATAACAGTAAATAAGAACAGTACCATTTGCCAGCATTGTGCCAGTAATAGAATCCTGGAGCAGCAAATTTCATATTACAGATAGTCCTCGACTTGTGACCATAATCAAGACCAGAATTTCTGTTGCTAAGCAAGGCAGTTGTTAAGTGAGTCACTCCTGATGTTACAACCTTTTTTGCCGTGATTGTTAAGTGAATCACTGCAATTGCTAAGCTGAATCATGTGATTGTTAGGCAATTCCAGTTTCTGCCATTCACTTTGTTGGAAGCCTACTGAAAAGATCACCGATGGTAATCACATGATCCGAAGGCACTCTAGCCATCGTAAATACATGCCAATTGCCAAGTGCCCAAATACTGATCACATCACTATGGGGATACTTTGACAGTTGTAAATGTGAGAACAATTTTCAGAGGTTGACTTTCAACTTCAAACAGTCGCTAAACAAGTGGTTGTAACTTGAGAACTACCTGTAGTATAATTTTCTCAAAGGTTGGGATACAGCACTTTAATGTGATTAAAAATAAAAGCCTAACGTTAGCATCACTAAGCAATCAAAATCCAGGCCTAGAGTGTGAATATGACTCTGATACATTTAGCTAGGAGGCAGAAAAAAGATTCTACCAAATTAAATATGAGAAATATTTCCATTACCTTGATTCAGAAAGTATTAGCCAAGTTCACTACATTTGTAATAAAAACTTTTACTAGAGGCTCATTACAGTCTGATATATCTGAAAGTAATTGGTGCAAATTATTTGAATAATTAATGTCCCAGTATCACATGCAAATTATTTGAATAGTTAATGTCCCAGTATTACAATTTTGATATGCACGTCAGTTAGGCAAAGATGTCTCCAGGTCCTTCTAATTCTTGGAAACTGTAAAATAAAAAAGTCCATAAAACGATAAAAAGGTCCCAGCCAAAATGAACTGAAATCAGTGTGTCGCCATACTGCAAGGGAAAAATAGGATTAGTGAAAGTTATCTATAATTATAATAAACATGTCCAAAGTTAGAGAGATAGCAAGTATTTTTTTAACTATATTAAAAAAAGGATGTGTGTTGACCATATTATCGTGATCGGGAAGGCTGGATGTCCCAAGCACTTAATTCTTTTTTTTAAAATATTTTTTTTAATTTTTAATTTGAAACAAATACAGCATCATTCTTTACATGCTATAGAAAGTGTATCAGTTGGTTACAAAAAGACTTTCATTCATCTCTTCCACAGTCAACAAACATAGAAGAGAAGGCAAAAACATATCTCTGGGGGTGTTTCTGTTAGATGATTTGCTTCCATGTTCATTGTCTCTTCCACATAAACTATAATTTATTTGCTCAATACATACAATTAAACTATAAACCAGAGTGGCCAGGAGAATAGACCAAATGAAGCCAAAACTTAAAAAAAATGTTTTAAGACTTAATACAGTGATGGCTAACTGTTATGTTGTCACATGCCGAAAGTGTACACAAAACCGCAACAGTGCACACACACAGACCTGCACCCATAATGCAATGTGTACATGACTTCCCTGCATGCCACATCCCCTGCATGCATGCATGACCCCCTGTGCATGCACATGTGACCCCCTGCGCATGCAGGGGCCCCACCCATTTTGGCTTCCAGGTTGGTGCAGGAGGTCTTCCAGTCCCAAAACGGGGCGCAATGAGACCCAAAGACCAGCTGGCTGGCGGGAGGGGCACGCACAGTGGAGCTGGGCTGGGGCGATGGCTGGTGTGCCCGCAGGCATGCCATAGGTTTGCCATCACAGACGTAGTGTGTTGGACAAATGCAGTCTTTAATACTCATAGGACACCCACCCAATTCTTTTTTTCTACGTCGGTGCTTTGTGATGATCTGGCTAGGACACATAGTTTGAATGCAGTTGAAAATAATCTTGAGGGTTTTTTTATTTTAGCAATACAGTTTGTGTATTTTCTAGCATTGTTGTTTTTCAACTTTTATTAGAGTCTGTCCTCAGCCATCACTTGGTGTCCTTGACTGCAGGGTTTGTTTCAGTCCAACATTTACAGTTGCTCCCAAGATGCTGAATTAGTTCACAAATTTTCAAGTCTGGCTGATCTTTGTCCTCTTTTCTGCCACCCTGACACTGAAGGTGCTTTGTCTGCATATATTAGCAATAGATCCCAGGGTGGGTTCCGGCCAGCTTTACTGCCGGTTTACTCCTGTGTGCGCTGTGCGCACACTAGCTGCAAGCTGCGTGCGCATGCACACTTGAATTAAAAATTTTCTGCACATGCACAGAACTTAAAAACAAGGCGCCAACCGGAGAACCAGTTTGGGGGTGTGGCAGGCCTGGGTCGCTGCCAGTTCCAGGGACACATGCTGCCATACCACTACCAGTTCAGCCGAACCGGTAGGAACTCACCTCTGAACAGATCCATGTGTTTAAGCACCCCCAAGATATGTTTTGATGGATGGCTAACGATGAAAGTGTGAAAAATACAGAAGCTTCAGATTTGGAGACGAAGAGACATTATATCAATTCTGAAATCCTTATTAAAATGCAGTTGGTAATGAGTCAGAATTTAAATAAGAGAAAGATATTATCAAAGGATGGGTATGGATTTGTTTTGTTTTCAACTAACTTCAAGTAAATACGTTGTCTTCTATCTCTAATATACTGCTGAATGTTTCATTTTGTAAAACTCTTAAGTCATTAAGATTCTGTTCAGCAGGCAATCTGACAAATGTAATTTGCAGACTCTTGGATATCAGCTCTTTTGCTTGGAGAAAGTTGGATTTTTTTGGAAATACCCGGCTGTTGGAGGGTGGACAAGTAGGGATGTCTTATGGGGACATTTCTCTGTCATCAAAGGACTTCTGCATGAATTTAACAATTCCAATCAACTTTTTATAACCTCTGCATCATACCAGACTGATTAAATGCAAGTGGCTGAAAAATTCAAAGTATTTCAGTTCATTCATATTCTAAGTTCTGCTTTTAGTTTAATAAATTAGAAATGATAAGCACAATTCTTTTTCATCCCTTGCTCAGTCCTAGATTAAAAAGTAGTCCTGTTTTTCAAGATCATGCCTATTTATATTTTAAATGCCTCAGATGAATAGATTGTCTCAAAAGCTGAC